TTAGTGTTGAGGAAGATATTGATAAAATCGAGCAGCTTGAATAAGGTAATAATATTATTACTATATTTGTTGTATATAAATGTTGTGGATATGCTTATATTTATTACACGACTCATTATTTTAATTTATTTTCTTCAGATTTAGCCAGCAATGAAAAAGACCCTTCCGTAATTGACGTGTACTGTTAATATATCTGGTAAGAATTCGAATTGTAATACAATGTTAATAAATATGTTAATATATTAACAACAAATATGAATTTTTAGATCAACAGTTTATATAATTCTACTAATTAGCTCAAATTTTAAGGTGTATCTGCAAACTCATTGATCTCATTTTGTAAAGTCTTGTGCCCTCAAGCTGTCATATTTCAAGTCTGCTACCATTTGAGTTATATAATGCTAGGCTGTTGGATGTTAGCAGTTTGTTATTTCTTGAATGCTATTAATAATGTAAATGGTTCTACCATTGCAAAGTGATTCCAAAGACTCTTAGGTTGTTGTTTGAACTTTGAAGCTGCAGAAATTGAAGCACTATTAGGCGTTAGCTACAACAATTATATTTTGTGGATGTCTCCAATTGTTATAGATTTTATGTCTAAATTTCCATTTTATCTCTAGTTGTATTCTGGACTCATTTTGACAGGTGTAATTGCCATGTTAGGAAGTGTTAAGTGTTAATAGAATCTCCATTCATCATTATTATAAAACAGTTAAGATTTCAAGTGGTTACTATATATGGATAGTAAATTGGTGATTAATAAGCATGTGTAATTATGTGTATTAAAGTTTTGTACTCTTTGTTATTTCTGTGTATGGATTAATCACGTACTAGCAAATAGTGATTTAAGCATGTGTAAATTAAATATCTTTACAACTTTGCCTTTAGATCTTTTTTATCTAGATCTTTACATATTAAATTAGTATCGATGTGATCTTTATGAAAATGGTATGTGCGTCATGTGCAATTGCATTCATTGCTCCAATATTTATAGTCTGAACTGAAAGCAGCGTTAGTAGGCACTAGCAGATTTCTCTAGTGTTTAGAGGTGTCAATTTTGGTGTAACAACTAATATATTGTAACATGAAGGACCAAAATAGTCCTCTGTAATATAGATTGAGTTAGGCCGATAAACCGCCCGATAATAGCTAAACTTATACCAATCCGTCCGATATCTTATCGTGTGGCTAGCGGATTAATATATTTAAAAGCCGATAACCGATAAGCCGAACCGTTAAGAGTAAATAACCGCCCGATCCGCCCGATAAGCAACCCTATCTGGAAGAGCCAATTACTACTATTTTTTAGGAATAAAATTGATTATCAATAAGGCATTGTGTTGTAGTAATTCTCAAAAAAACTTATTGAGTTTCTAAAGTATTCGCGAAAGCGGTTGGTTATATTGAGACTATAAATAATGAGAAGATTTAATATCTTTATATTACTACAACTTTAGTAGGGTAATATGTATATAAATATTACCCGCTTTATTGCCTTATTTGTACTACATACATAAAGTATGGTGAAATTACATGACACAGTAAACTGGATGTTTATTGATATATAATACCCATGTCATAGTAAATTGAGAATTTAATTAATAATTGCACATGTCATAATGTAAACCTGAAGTTTACTGATACAGACAATTTTATCACGCACGGCCTATTGAGCAATCTTGATTTAAGCATGATGTGCAAAATAAATGAGAATTCACATGAGTAAGTGTTGAAGAAGATTCTTCATGAATTCTCATATGTTTCTTGTTCTCATTAATTAATATACCAACTAAAATTGAGATTGAATCCCTTGAATTCTGAAATTTATCAAAGGTGAATATGGGCTCATTCACCTGCCATGTAAACCTTATAAAAATGCATCTATGAGATGGTTACATATGCGTTTATTATCAACCCGCAACTTGAATACCATGTTTCTTGCTCAATAACTTAATTTAGAGCATAATTTCTAGATTTTCTATTCAAGAAAGTTCATTTTGATAAGTTGGTTTACATCACAGTTGGTTTAGCAAAATAAATTTTTGACTGCCTCCACTTAATAGCTAAATTATTGCTTATGAGAACAAAGTTATCTATATTAGTTTGATATACGTTATACACGAAAGTATATTGCATTCTCTCCTCACAACTCGTTCAGGGTCAGGAACCAAATAATTTTATCTTATTATTATTGATGTACGGTGTATATTTTGATTAACACCATAACGCACAAAGATGGGTTCCCAAAGTTGAGGAAGCAAGTTAGTTTTTCTAGCATGAGGGGGAGAGATGATAAACATTTGAGAAAACGTTACGTGGAATGAATTATCATTTCTACATCTAGATCATCGAATAAGATAATATGAACTTGAAGTTCATAAAAAGATTATTCATTGGTAATATATTTCAAAGCATGCCGGACGCATTTGCTGACTCAAAGAAAGTAACTATATTCTCACTGCAAATGCTCCTATTAGAATAAGTCCTATAAGGACAAAATCTATGGTACGCTTGAAGAGTATAGACAAATCGGTTTCAAATAAAATTCTTGATAAAGAAGATGAGCAAATGATCAAAATAATCATAATAAGGAGGCAAGTGATCTATAACATCACATGACATAACACTTCATAAAATCTCAGGAGAGGTTAGGTACATGAAAATATAAACGAAGAGATCTCTATGTTATGTCTTTATGAAAAAAAAGAAGAAGGTTGGAACTGATATAAAATATTCGTCGACAACATCTATGATAGTGCTAAAAATATATATATATATATATANAGCGTATAGACAAATCGGTTTCAAATAAATTTTTTGATAAAGAAGATGAGCAAATGATCAAAATGATCATATTAAGGAGGCTAGTGATCTAGAAGATCATATTACATAATACTTCATAAAATCTCAAGAGAGGTTCCGGTACATGAAAATATGAATGAAGAGATCGTTATGTTTTTATGAAAAATAGAAGTTGGAACCGATATAAAATAGTCGTCGACTACATCTATGATAACGCTAATGCTAAATATATATATATATATATATATGAGGATCTTAAGTCCAGAGAAATGATTCAAGTAGAACTGGTTTCATATGAAAGACATGTAGTTTTGGACATGCAGTTCAAATACTTGAAAATATAAAGTCAATGGTGGGTACAATCACTTTTATCTATCTTATATGTCTAGCATGACATAAAACTTGATATGCATCTAAAGCCTATTTATATGGTTTATATGACTTAACTTATATGATAATCCCTGAAGGATTTAAATCGATTAAAACATATCCAATTCTTGATCTTGAAGTACCACATCCTCACTGTAATTTATGCACAAATGTATCTTGCTATAACTATAAGCATGATAATATGAAAGAGAGAATTTTTACCACTATGGAGATATTGAAAAGTCTATTCCACGACATTATACGAAGACATTACATATCTATCAAGAATGATTATTTCAAGGTGCAACATATTCATTGGAGTTAATATGGATGATTTATTTACTAAATCTCTGCCGACGTCAACCTTCAAGAAGTTAGTGCACAAGATTAGAATACGAAGGCTCAAAGATGTGAATTGATGCTCTCATCAGGGGGAGTTAATACGCGTTGTACTCTTTTTCTCTTACAAGGTTTTGTCCCACTTGGTTTTTCTTGCAAGTTTTTTAATGAAGCAACCAAAAAGCGTATTGTTAGATATGTATACTCTTTTTCCTTCACTAAAATTATTTTTCCACTGAGTTTTATTTTAGTTAAAGTATTAACGAGGCACATTATCTATTGAATAGACATTCAAGGTGGGGTGTTATAAATAGAATTATATTTAAGGTGAATGTCTATATTTTAGAGAGATTTTAGGGTTTGTTACTTGGTGGCTAAGTCACTTTTTCACTATAAATAGAGGGTTCTATTCTATTGTAAATCATCCCAAATCAATAAGAATTCTCTCTCTACTTTTCTCTGCAATACTCTTCTTCTTATCTTATTGTTTTATAACAATACAGATAAAATGGGAGTAATTTTTGAGACCTAAAGCAACATTTTACTTTTACCTTTGCGTTTAGCCGCTCATTTATATAGTCTTGATGACTTGTAATTAGGGGTGTACAAACCGAATCGGAAAATCGCACCAAACCAAAAAGTTAAACCAAATCGATTAAAAAACCCTATTAGGATTGGTTTGATTTGGTTTGGTATTGAATACAAAAATTTGAACCAAACCGACATATAAATATATAATTTTTATATATACTTTTAAGACTTTTTATAGAATTTTCTTTAAAAAATATCTAGAAATATTTGTGATTCTCTTATGGGATGTAATATTTAGTTAAATATGAAGTGCTCCATATTTATTAACTTTAAATAATGGGTTATATGATCACTTTCTTATCAAGTGTTAGTGAAATGCGTCAATCTCTTTGTTCTTCCATATTCATATGTCAAGATCTATTAAATTCTTATATCTTTTTTGAATTTGAAATGACATTTCGATAATTTAAAATTAAATAGAACATATCATTATATAGGTTCATATTTATTTTTATGTTTAATTATTAAATTCGATTAACTTTTAAAGTATACATCAACGTAAAATTATTGTAAGACGATTAAAAAATAAATATCATGTGTTATTAAGAAAACTCTTTTATAAGAATATTTTAATAGATCATATATTTGTCAGTTTTTTTAATTTTTACTAAACATATATTTACTTATAAAAAATTTAACAAAGTAAGATTGAAATAATATTCATACAACAAAAAAACCCCAAAAAATCTAAAAAATGAACCAATTCAAACCGATATAGTTGGTTTGGTTTGATTTTGATAAAAATCGAACAAACCCGGTCCATGTACACCCCTATTTATAATATAAGTGATGTAGGATGAAATTATAGTTATTAGGCTGTAATTTCAAATCCTCTATCCACAATATTCCTGCTGCAATCTAATCATTTTCATTTTTTGTTTCCAAATGAAACTCGGACCATCCGAGCAACCCGCCTTCTTAAAAATAAAAGATACGATGTTCCGTGTTATTGAGTAGTTTGAACCGACAGAATTTAAAAAAGCCCAAGAAAGGAAGTTTTGAATACCAAATCTTACCTCGTTGGTGGAGATTGAGATCCGTGATCTTCGCTTTGCTTACGGCACCTTACTTTGATTTGATCACTTCTTGTACTGAACTGTTGCCTCCTCCTCTGCCGCTCAAACATTCAATTCTCCATTTCTTTTTTAAATTTATGTGTTATCTCTAATGCTCAGACTCTTTAATTTGACTAATACTTAATATTTGTTTCTTTCCACAAGATATATATATATATATTTACTCACTCAAACAATTTTATTTATTTACTTATTTTTATAATTAGGGAGAAAATGATCTTGTATAACCACAAAGTTACTTTGTACTGAAAAATGTCATGTTATTGGAATGCACAAAAGTTCAATTTGTGGAGTAGGCTGTTATCACTTTTGGATCTCACGCAATTGCATGGCTTTAACAATTCTCAAAATATTACCTTAAAAACATCCACATGAGTTTGGTGACAGAAAGTTTTCATTCTTTTTTCTCCTACAGTCCTTATACTCCATATCATTCATGAGTTCTCTGAGATTTTGCCATCGCATTCATCAGATTTTGAAATCATTCTCAGTCTAAATAGTGGTTTTCATTATTATCACTTAATTTATTGTCATATGCACTAGGAATTCTTCCCTTTGGTAAACGATTTCTTGTGAGGAGGGTTATGGGCCTTGTAGATTCTTTGTTGGGAAATGAGAGTAGAAGGTTTATCAAGAGAAAAGATAGTGATGCGGGTGAAGCAGGTTTGTCCGCTATTTGCCCCTTTCAATTTGTTAGAATTGAGGATCTTAAAATACACTCTTCTGTTTGCATTGTTATTCTTGCGGTTCCTGTTATATACTTTATGTTTTAAGGGGTCAACAGGGTTTTAGGTTTTCATAAATATAATTTATTTTGCACACATTCTTTCGTGTGTTAATATCTGGAAACTGGGAGTTAACAATCTGTTCATTAATTATCTTTATGAAATTAGAGTCTGAGTTTAGTAATGCAGTCTACTTCTTTGCTCCAAGAAATTGCTGTATATTGTTGTCTTAATCAGGAGTATCTAAGTTTATCGAGCATTTGGTTTAGAATCAATTATTGGGTTTATATGCCTTGATGAGTGAAGCTCATTGGTCTTTCAGAATTATGTGTTTAGAATTTAGTATTTGTTGACGTTTTGGTGAAGTTTCACACAAACACGCATATCTATGTATATATATGTTTAGGCGTTAAAAAATACTTGGTTTAGTTGAACCCATAATGCATAAGCTAAGCTGCGCGACATCCACACATATCTTGTAGGATTTCTGCTTTTTGATTGCTCTGCATCATTTTGGGTAATAAGGCATTACCTGGACAATAATTTATCTCCGCTTAGTAGTACTTACTATACATAATTTTTGCTAATATTCAGAACAACTTGTGCTTTTGCCTTGATTAAAAGCTATATTGTTTGAATCTTACTGGTATGGCTCTATTCTAAACCAGGTAGAGCATTGGAAGAACTCAGAGGTTCTCTCTACAATGAGCTTCGAACATCAGAAGGAGCAAAGCGTCAACAACAACGATTCTGTGGTCCAGTTGTGGCAATGACCTTCAATTTCATGGTTGCGGTTGGAATAATATTGGGAAACAAACTTGTATGGCTTTCTTTCCCATATTTATAGATTGTGGATGGTAGCAATATATGTAACCCCAAATAAAGTGTCTTTAACTGTTGTTGACATGGTCTAGCGTGTAATATGTTATTGGCTTCTAAGCTTGTTAATATGTTTTGCAGGTTATGGGCAGAGTTGGATTTAATTTTCCAATTTTCCTAACTTTTATTCACTACTGTTGTGCTTGGATACTACTTGCCATCTTCAAGGCTTTGTCATTGCTTCCAGCTTCTCCTCCCACTAAATCAACGCCATTTTCTTCACTGTTTTCTTTGGGTGTTGTGATGGCTTTTGCCTCTGGTCTTGCCAATGCAAGTCTGAAGCATAACAGGTTCCCATAGTGTAAACGTTTTCTCCAAGTCTCAAACCTGTGGCAACTTCTTTTTCCTAACTAGCCCCGACTTGTGCAGTGTGGGTTTTTATCAGATGGCTAAAATTGCTGTTACTCCAACCATTGTCATTGCAGAGTTCTTTCTTTTCAAGAAAACCGTATCTCTTCACAAAGTTAGTCGTGTAAAAGCTTTACCAAATAATATCGACAAATCATATTATAGCCCTTCATGATAACATCATCCTGGAATTTTCTATTTAAGTTCAAAGAATGGTGCTGCAGGTTGTGGCATTGGCTGTCGTGTCAGTAGGCATTGCAGTTGCAACTGTCACGGACTTGGAATTTAATTTATTTGGGGCTTGTATAGCAATAGCATGGATTGTTCCAAGCGGTGTAAATAAAATTCTTTGGTCAAGTCTCCAGAAACAAACCAATTGGACTGCTCTCGCGTAAGAAGTGCTTCTCTATTCTTTTCATTTAAATACATTATGATAGCAAGTGACTTTGTGCTTGAATATACTTAATGAATACCAAATGTTTTAACGCAGGTTGATGTGGAGGACAACCCCAGTGACAATTTTCTTCTTGGTAGCTCTGATGCCTTGGTTAGATCCTCCTGGAGTGCTATCCTTCAAATGGGATGTCCATAATACGACTGCTATTCTAATTTCAGCTTTACTTGGTTTTCTCTTGCAATGGTCTGGAGCTTTAGCACTTGGGTGAGAGACACTATTTTCCTATTAATGTGAAACTTTCTTATTTTGTCATGTAAAACCGTAACTTTTCTATGCAGAGCTACATCAGCGACATCACACGTTGTTTTAGGACAATTCAAGACTTGTGTGATCCTACTAGGAGGATATTTCCTGTTTGGTTCAGATCCAGGGTGGATAAGTATTTGTGGCGCCATTACAGCTCTTGGTGGAATGACAGTTTATACGTCCCTTAGCATAAAGGAATCAAGAGAAAAGGCGAGTGACCAGCTCCCGAAGCACAGCTTACCTCCTCAAAAACTCAAGAGTACTGAAGATGATAACTCCAAATACTCACCCTCAGAACACAATCCAAGTGTCGTCTGAGCTGCATTTCTTCCGCTCTTTATTTCATCCTGTTTCCTTTTCTTTTTTTTGTAGGTACAGAAGTTAGATCTAATTTGGGACTCACTTTAATCTATGGAACATCATAATGTAAATTTCTGCATTGCAAAACGTTGCAACACACAAGCATCATGTTAATTGAAGAAAATGCTTCAGGATTAGTGCTTGATAACTTAGAAAGTTTGGCTTTTTAGTACAAAAAGATTCGCTAAAGTTTAGCCAACTTAGATTAAAATTTTCCAAAGAAAAAATATGTATGATAGAACCCTGACTGCAATAGGAGCCAGAAATTGGTTCAGGGGCCTCCTAGGAAACATGGTAAATAGTTTTCCTTTCCTTGTGTTGTGGCTCTTTCTGCAAATGAAGAGAACAATCCTGGACATCATTAGCTACCTGCATAGGTGTTCTTAACATCACTAGATTTAGTACATATACTGAAATTTCCTTCCAACATTCTTCATATGGATTTCTTATGCATAAATGTGAGTGCAAGGTGACAAGGTTTTTTGGAAATACTTGGAGGTCCTTCTTTTCACATAATATACAGGAATCTAGGTGTTTTTAAAAAGAAATACAAAATATGATGTATAAGAAGAGTACGTGTATTATTTATACTTAGATAAGAACACCTACAAATTAACAAGTCTTTTGTCCTTTCCTTCTTTTGTGGCGCTTGTATTAGAAAACAGTTTGGTTTGTTTTGTGCTTATTCTAGCCTTGTTTTAGTTCTATATTTTTAATTAAAGTGTGGACTTAGTTTTGAGAGAACTATTTATAGAGTTATTATTTGAAAATTAAGTTTGGAGTTTTTGGACATGAGAATAAAATACAATTATTCAAAATATCATTATAATTTTTTATTTTTTTTCAATTCTGATAACCAAACGACCCCTAAATCTTGGTGGTAGAAGTATCCCAAATTTGCTAGCCAATAACATATTCTGTTGTGGAAACGACGTCATATAGCCACTTTTAATGATGTTAAAGAACATAGACAATTTACAATATATTCAAATTTTAGCCATTTCTCCGCTGCCTAATCATTCAATATGAACTAAAGCCACATAGAAAAACAAATGACTTTGCGAAGCTAATAAGGCGACAAGTTTTGAACCCATCTTCTAAATATAGAAACAAAGTAACATATCCAGGCGCAAATTGTACGTAAAAGTTTTTCGCAGACTCTAGAGAATCATTGAGATGATGACATATAAGAGATTGTAAGGAGAAAATAGCATTAACGTCGTCCGAGTAGAGACGAATCCAGTATCTTAAGTTTATGAGTTCCTATAGAAATTTCAAGTCAATATACAATAATAACTGAATTAACGGACTGTGTTCCAAGCTAAATATTTTTATATATTTAATGAATTTTTCAATACAAACACAGGATCTAAACAAAAGTTACTGGGTTCACGGAAATCCGTAACTAATGCACTGGATTATGAAGTGGCTGTTTGTATTGGCCCACATCAATGAATTCAATGATTTGTTCAATAAGGTTGTGGAGGTGAGAAAAAGGAGTGGTGAGTAGTTCAAATTTCAGCCATTGGACTTTTAACTTTTTTTTTTTATAGTGCATGTTACCTGTGTCGTGTGCCGTTGATACAAGTGGCTATATTGTAAATACAAATGTTGACTTATTTTAAGCAGCAGCCCTAAATGTGGCTACTGATGCAAATGCCCTTGGTTTGTGTTGTCCTGTTAGCCAATCCGCCTAAAAAGATTCAGAATGAAGATATAAAGAGAAAATATTTATGATTCCTTAAAACCCTAAACCTTAGACTCTCAGCCGGACAATGGGTTCCCCGACAGAGAGCGAGAGCACATGGACACAAGGGGAGATCATCGATTCTACTAAGATAGCAAAGATTTCAGTATGGGATTTGCCGGACGTGCCGCAGGGGAAGTTGCCGCCACATCTTGAGCTCCAGAGGACTCGCGTTATGTGTGATTTTTTAGCTCCCACTAATACTCAGAATATACAATACTCAGGTGCCTATGCTTCTATGGGTGTTGATAACAGCGTGCGCTTTGAGCAATTCCGCAACAATTTCAAAGTGGAAGTTGTGAGACTTGATGAGGACGAATTGGAGTTTGACATGATTGGTATTGATCCTTCCCTTGCCAACGCCTTTCGCAGAATCCTCATTGCTGAGGTGCGCATCTCTCTCTCTCTCTCTCTCTCTCTCTCTCTTACACACACACACACATTATTGGTTTTGTTTTACTGTTTGTGTTGTTCTTTAGATAAACTGTGAAGCTTATTTAAATGAGTTAGTACTGGAGTCACATCTGATTAGCAAGCCTTTTTTATTGGACCATAAAAATGGAGAGGCCCGAGCTATGATTTGAACTTTATGGGTTCTAATTTAGGATAGCGATATTATGTGTTAGCAACTGGGTTTTAAGTTTAATATTTTACATATTCAGTGAATTTCTTAGTATAAATATAGAGTTTGGACTAAAGCTGTTGGGTTTAGCCGAATCCGTGACATACCTTCTACCTCCTCCCGGGTAAAAATGTATTGGTTAATTAAAGGACAAGAACGCTGAATGATTGGGGCATATATATTTTTATTCCTCAGAACGGATTATGGCCTTTTTTGGGGTTAATTCCTCTGCCCGAATACTTGCTTGAAATTGTGTTTGGTATTTGAGGTGATAAAATTTATTTATTTCCGATGTTGCCTCGTCATGCAGGTTCCAACTATGGCTATTGAAAAAGTTCTTATTGCAAACAATACGTCCATTATCCAAGATGAAGTGCTTGCTCACAGACTTGGTCTCATTCCAATTAAGATCGATCCAAGGCTGTTTGAGTATATGTCAGGTGTTATATCTTCTTGTAATACCGTATGAGTAGTTAGTAGTTACTACTGTGTTTCCTTCTAATCCCTGAAGGATTTGCTTTTGATGGGAATAATGGTGACTAATTACTTGTTTATGTTTTCCAGAAAATGATGTGCCTAATGAAAAGAATACAATTGTTTTCAAACTCCATGCTCTTTGTGAAAAAGGTGGCGAGCGACTTAGAGGTACTATTAGTATGCTTTATTCATTTAGTTTTCGATTGTCTATTCTTTCGTGTGTGATTCTTCATTTGATTGCCACTAGTCACATGCGAGTTAATCAATTTTCTGCATTTTTGTGTTACAAATTGCAGTCTTGTCTAGTGAGCTAAAGTGGTTACCCAATGGCAGTGAATTCATATTAGGAACAGAAAGTCAAGCGTCAAATTCGTCTGCAAAACCAAAAACTTATACTTCATTCAGCTGTAGTCAGGATTCTCTACCAGAATTCTCGAATGACCCAATTGCCCCCAGAGATGCAGATATCATTATAGCTAAACTTGGACCTGGTCAGGTAGCCTTTGTGTCATGTATGTTCTTTTATGCTGCTTTCTGTTGAAAAAGGAAAAAAAACAAAGGAAGAAAATTACTAGAGAAAATGTTTGAATTATTTCTTTTGAACATTGTAGTATCACTGTTTGATCGTCAACTCTTTGCTCTTTTGTTATTTCACAAACTTATAGGTGCTCTTTTGCTAGTGCTTTTATATCCTTTTTGTTCTTTGCATTACTAAATGAAGATACTGCTTGACAACCATTTGATACAAAAGTTTTGAAGATCTAAAATACCCATCTCACCATCTGACCAAGAATGGAAAAGTGCACAAACACCTTTTGACTCCTTCTACGTGGTGCACTAACTCATCCCACAAATGTTTTTGCTTTCTGGTTTTGTTTTAAATATTGCATATTTGTCTCTGTTAAACCGAGATTTACTTTGTCATATTTTAGTGGTAAAAATTCTAAGAAATTAAGGTGTTTAATTTACTTCTGGAGAACTTTTATGCCTTCGTTGTAGGAGATCGAGCTAGAAGTTCATGCTGTTAAAGGCATGGGTAAGACGCATGCAAAGTGGTCTCCTGTGGCTACGGCTTGGTACAGGATGCTCCCTGAGGTGAATAAATGTTTTCACCATATTCGTTTTTGTGTATAGAAAATACCTTCTGACTGTTAGTTTTCAGATTTCACTTCTTAAAATTGTGGTCGATCAATTTCAGTAAATGCTTGGTTTTAATCTTTTTGTTTGGTTACTGAAGGTTGTATTATTGCGAGATATTGAAGATGATGAAGCAGAAGAACTTGTGAAGAAATGTCCGGTTAAGGTGTTCGATATCGAGGATATTGGTAAAGGTAAAGTGACATGTATCTGTCAGTCGTTGATTTAATTAGGTCACCAATTGCAAAGTTCAAAACATAAAGCTGAAGCAATGTTGATCTTTCCACTGTTCTAACAAGCACTAATGTATAGGTAAAAAAAGGGCTACTGTTGCACGACCAAGGGCTTGCACCCTTTGCAGGGAATGCATCAGAGAGGAAGGTTGGGATAAGAATGTAGCAGTGAGACGTGTAAAAGACCATTTCATCTGTAAGTGTAGTAATAGCAGTGTATTTAATAGGTTGAGTATTATATGCAGAGACCTCCAAAGCTCTTACCATCCTTTAAATAGAAAATCCTCTGTATCCTTGTCTCTTTATTTATCTACTCCTTCTGTCTCATATTATCTGTCATGTTTTTCTTTTACATGCCCCTTAAGAAACATTAATTAGGAAAGGGATTAGACTATCATACCCTTATTTATGTCTTAAGATAAAATCTCTCTTCATTGAATATTTATTCTATTTATGTATTATCTCTATCTTCAAGAACAATTATTACTAAGGGTAAAAAAGGAAAAGAAAAATCAATTTTGTCTTGAACTTCTAAAATGACAAATAATTTGAGACAACTATATTTAGTAACCACGACTGTTAATATGGGACGGAAGGAGTACTTTCTTGTGAGTGATCTTAAATTCAAAATTTTTGAGTTTCAATTTCTCTTTGGGATTTTCATTTTAGTTTTATTATACATAAGGGGGAAGGGGAAGGGGAAGGGGTAATGGGGGAGGGGATTACAAGGTGAGGAAACCCCCTACGGACAAGGCGAAAGTTCAGGTAACCAACAAACTGGACTATTAAGATTCCCCTTTTTGAGTTTTGGAGGTAATTGTGGTGAGATAATAATAATAATAAAAATATGTTACTTTGTCAAAGAAAATAATGGTAGTAAATACTAGTATTTTTTCAATTGCTTCTAGTATTTTGTCTCCG